TAATTTCATGATGTAACTTTTTTCCCGTTATAGTTATGGATATCTGATTCATTAAAAAATAAAAGGGAAAAGTTCACCAATGCCCCTGTGGTTTGCTTCAGAATCATTTATACCCCTGTGGTTTTTTTCCTATCACATATGCCCCTGTGCTTTGTAAAAAATAAGAAACCATAGGGGTATATGTGATAAAAAAACATACCCTTTTACAAACCACAGGGGCATATGTGATAAGAAAAAAACCACAGGGACATAAGTGATTTTGAAGTAAACCACAAGGGCATTGGTGAACTTTTCCCAAAATAAAAATACTTACATTTGATTTTATCATAAATATACTTTCATATGTTTTATTTATAAAAAATATGTTTCTCATGTCGCGTATGAGACAATTGTCTCATCCACGCACACAAAATGATTGAGATTTGGGATCCGTTTTTTCTTTCTCACTCTTTTTCTTAACGGGTATCAGTCATATTTTTTATGTGTTATATGAAATAATAATTGAATTGATAAATTGTCACTCTTCTCCTTAATATGTTTCTCATGCATCGGGACAAACTTATTCCCTTTATTTAATTAAAATGACAATGGTTGGATATTCATCCAATTTGTGCTTGATTAGACTAGAAACTGAATTTATTATCTGATAATACTCACAAGTCGCCATAGCCTAAGAATAATTACATTTCCAGAATCAAAACCGATCGGCCGGGCAAACTTTTAAGGCCCATTTTTTTTTTTAGTGTTACCAAATAGTTTATATGATATGCAGAAGGGTTTTATTTTTACTCTCCATAATATAATTAATATTTGTATTACTACAAATTCATTTATTATATATTTATTTAGATTTAAACTATGCAATAATAAAATGACAAAGTAATATATATATATATATATATATATATATATATATATATATATATTAAAAACAAAATTTAGGTCTGTTCAACCCTTCGAACCGGCAACAAATTTAACCCCATCTGGCTCGACTTAAATTTAACATAATAATAAAGGGACTATTTTGAAGTTTATTTTAATTTTTTTCTCTCGAAAAGTTACTTTTTTTTAAATAAATAAAAGAAAATATTTCTCACTCTAATTAAATATTTGGTTGCGAGCTTTTAAATAAAGCGGAAGTAAGGAAAAACCTAAAATAGTAATTTTCAACCTAAAATTTATAGCTTCTTAAAAAAAAATATAAATATCTTTCATAAAATCCAAATTTACCCTAATTCAAATCCCAACCTATACCAACCGTACCACCAGCATTCCTTCTACTAGCCTACTACCACGTCACCTTCGTTACCAGCACAGCACGCCACCGCCACCGTTGTCATCAAATCTTGAGTTGATAATTTATTTTCACATATTTTTTTAGTTATTTTGTAGATAATTTTTTAAAATTTTAATACAAATAATTTTTGTTGTTAAAATTGTTGTTTAGATACTCCATTCAAATACAAAATAGATTTAGCTTAAAAAAATCCTTATACAAAAATAATGCATAAAAAATAGTTTTTTGACCTTTGAATTGAAGCCACTAATATTAAGTATGTTGATATGTCATAATTTTGTATAAAAAAATATTAAAATCCTTATTAAAAAATGAAGAAAATTCTTAAACATTTATATTTTTAATAATGATTCTCTTATTATCCTATAAATAATTAAAAATATAAAAAATAAAATTGTGCATGCATGATGTAATTTATATTTGAATATTTTTGAAGAAGTATTAATCTTCTAATTTGTTGCCTGAAGAAAAAAAGGCAAACAAAATCGAATAACTATTTTATTATATATTTTAATTGGTAGAATATTTTTACTATCAATTTTTTTACTACCACTTTAATCACCATTAGATTCAAAAGTTATTTTTCTTTTCTCTCTCTTCGTCCAACTTTTTCTCTAATCCAATGATGATTAGAGTGATAGTGAAGTGATAAAAAAAAATTGATAGTAAGAATATCCTAACTCATATTTTATATACACAGAATATGCATACTACATACATCTACTCTTTACTCAAGAGTATCTCCAGACACCTAGATGGATAAATACATAGGATTAGGGGTGTAAATAGACTGGACTGGGCTTTGGCCTTTTTGGCCCAAGCCTACGTCAAAAAAATTCAGCCTGTCTGGTCTACTGGTCTTTTAAAGGCTTTATTTGTAGGCCAAGCCCGACCCATTTTTAAAAATAAGAAAGTCTGACATGGCCTACAGGCCTTGTAGGCCTCCCACTGTAGATACTAAGCAAAAAAAATAATTGTATAGAGCAAAGAAAGTTTCATTCATGCATGCACTAGTACTTCTCATAAGAAAAAAATGACAAACAAGAAAGAGTCAACATAATACCTCAGCTCTAGAATGTATATCATAGAGGAATAGAGTCAAAGAAATGGAGAAAATAAGAAAAATACAATTACCGGATGCTGAAATAAAGTCTACAAGAGAATGTCATTTACCTAAAAATCTTTAAACCACCATCAAGACAAGGGAAAGAAGAGTATTATTGAAAGATCTTCATCAGTAACATCATAATCCAGCAAGGTATCCATTACTCCATGGTATTAAGCTGTAACAGCATGTAAAATTTGGAGACATTAGACAAGTTTTCCTTTCATAAAATAAAATAGCACAAAAAGTAAGAGATATTGGTATTTGGTACTTTGCGTCTTTGCCACGTAAAATAAATATTATTTTATTATTTTATTTTTAATAAATTAAATAGGCCAGCCTACAAGGCTGTAGGCCGGGCTTGACAAAATTGACCTATGGCCTATTTGTTAAAAAAGTTTTTTTATAAGCCTAACTCTACTCTACTTTTCTGAAAGGCCGAGCCTGGGCCGGACTCAATGTAGGCCGGGCTGTAGGCTGAGCTGGGCCAGCCTGACTCATTTACACCCCTAGATAGGATGATCAACTATATTTATATTTAATCAAATTCAAAATAGTTTATTAACTTGATGTTCAATGGTGAAAACTTTTAAAAGCAGTAGTAGAATATATTCACTAAGTGCCTGTTTGGATTCTTTCTTTTTTAAGCTAGAAGCTACTTATAAGAATAAGTTAGGTCAAACAAGTTTTGGGAAAAACTCTTATAATGAAAAGCTTTTTTATAATGAAGAAAAAAGCTGAAAATTAAAAGTTCCTAGGAGGAGCAAAATTGTGTGTTTTTTTTTTTAAAATAAAGAGTTATAAACTATGTAGCACCGACACTGACACGGGACACGTGACACGATACGACACGACACTCCGACACGTTAATTCTAAAAAATGTTAAATTTCGACACGTTAGGACACGTTTTGATATTAAATAATATATTTAATTTATGTAGTATATATTATCTTTAATATTCAATAATTTAACAAAAAAATGTATCTAAACTTATAATATTCATAAATTTTACAAAGAAACATAAGATATTCCAAATATTTATATTAAATTCAATAAAATGGTAATCGTAATCTAACGAATCTAACAGTTGGAACTAAAAACTCAACGCAATTTAACCTTTAAACCGTTTTTTGAATTTCAATAACGCGTGTTGGAGTGTCAGGAAGTGTCCGAGTGTCCGAGAGTGTCGGGAAGTGTCGGACACGACACGTCAGAGTTTTTGAAGTGTCGGTGCTTCATAGGTTATAAAGATAGAGAGAGAAATAAATTTATTGAAGTATGTGTTTTTAAGCTAAAATTTTTATGTAATTATCAAACAACTTTTAATTTTTTTTAAGCTTTTTTGTTTAACTTTAACTTATAAGTAGCTTCTAACTTAAAAAAAAAATAAAGGCTCTATTTTACATACAACACCAGAAGCAAGAGGGGTGGCCCGTCTACAACTTCAAGATGACTCTAAACTCTTTAAAGGCCATGTTTTAAAATTAAAAGTCTACGACCTTTGCCAACATAACATCTCGGCCCACCTTAATATAATTTTGGGCGTGTTCCCTCTAGTTGTTGAGCTACCTGTCCAAATACATTTTGGGTCTTTTAAACTTGTTACGTTAACTTATAATTTCTAAAACCCATATCGAATATGTGACAAATTTAAGAAATGAAAACTTCATCATTTTTGAAACACTTTTGATGAATTTATAAGATTATATAAATAAGAATATATTATAGCTTATCTATCTTAATTTAGCTCAATTTTTTTGGTTGATAATTTTGCTCAATTTAACTTTATTATCAATATGGTTTGAAAAGTAATATTTTACTGAATTAATTTTTCTTTTTAACACGTAACGTTTTACAAGTAATATTTTATCATATCATTAGTTTTACAAGTAATACTTTGACATTTTTTCTAAGTTATGAAGTAAGTTTAAAACCAATATATATGAGGATGAAAAATATAAGCTAAAATGCATTAATTAAAACGACCTTAGTCTTCTAAAAAGAGTTGATACCATTGAGTTATATGATTTTTCTGTTCATATCATTACTTGTGATAATAAAATCAATTTCGCTGCAGAGTGAATATTTACAAGAAAAAAGATTTCTGCGATTATTTATATTTGCTCTACATTCTCAAAAGAGAAATGCTTATTCCACACTATAAAATGAGCTTAGTTTATCTGATAATTTGTTGAGTAATGTTATTTGCATACTAAAAATTTTATATTCGTAAATGATGGCTCAATTATTAATTAAAAAATTATATAAATTGGTTAATGAACTAATAATATATTCTTCATCTGTTAATTAATCAATATACCTTTTCAATTATTAATAAAAAAGGTATGAAAATCTGTAACGATACCTGAATATTAAAAAAATTAAAATTCATTACACAATTCCCTTTTTAAATAATAAAATAAGAAAACACATATTTCAACCTTTTTTTTACCTTTTATTTTCAACTTTCAAGCATAAAATAATGGGTTTATCTTTTCTCATGTCACATGAGATAACATCTCTCATGTTATAAACACAATAAGTGATAAGTCTCATCACTTGTTAAAAAAAATAAAGAATAAAAGAAGATAGCACGAATTTCGATATCTCACAACATGTTCAACAACGTGAGAAAATGATTTCCCAAAAATAATATAAAGATTTTGGCGTGCGAAAATTTTTGCCGTTAAGTATTTTAGGCGGTAAAAACATGAGGAAAAGAGAGAAAATTGCATTAATCTATTAGCAATTGACAACAAAAGGTAAGCTACTATGTCTATGTATTACTCTTTCACGAACCTTTCTTCACAATGCTTCATCTTCTTCAATTTTAATTTTCTGCTTAAAAACTTCACAGCATACAAGTATATATGCTTTGAAAGATGATGATCATCTTCTCTTTAAACGCAAAAACCACTTTGGTGAGTACATCCTGAACACTTTGTAGGCTGAGATAGTGGATATCAGAGCCATTAGGATGGACGCAACATAGCCACATAACAGAGCCCCTCCAATTTGGATGCAGAATCTGTTGAATTTGTTACATACCTTCATCCACTGTAAGGCTTCTGATCCAGTTATTGCCAGCACCGAGGCTTCAAGTGCTGCAGAGTTTGTGGCGAATGTCATGTACACCGCGATCTGTTTACAAATTTTAATATAAACCAATATGGTCAAATGATTGATTCATACAAAAAACTTATTTTTTTCTTCTTAGTAATTTTTCCTGTGATAAACCAATATACAAATTTTTCTTCTTAATATAAACCATTATGGTAAACTTGTAATTTTTCCTTTAATAAACAATAGATCTATTGAACTTGCTATGCCAGAATCTGCAAAAGAAATTCTCTTTTCCTTTTTTCTTTTTTCTTTTTTTGTTGGTTCAGAACATGAGCTACCTAATTGATAAGTAGCACCTTAATATTTTAAGCTAGCTCGGCGAATCCTAGCAAAATAAAACAACTTAATTAAACAAAACTTTTTACAGAATAATTTGATGATTCTGAGTTTGCTTCAATTTCTCCCTCCTCCAATTGGCGTATGCATTTGAAAGCGTTTTAAATGCATACATAACTAATAGATAACCAGGAAAAAGAGTAATTTACCTGATCCAACAAAAAACAAATCCAAGCCATGGAAATACTAGACCCTTTTGGATTTCCTCCAGAATAGGCTGAGAGAGAGTGTTTGCATAGTTGAAGCATATTATAACCAGCTGCAGCAGATGTAATGTAGACCAAGATCCTATAAAAACATACAATTCCTAGCTCCAATTTAGGGCATATAAAGCCACAGAAATCGGAGAATAAACAGAGATATATAGAGATGGAGAGGGAGCTCTTACTTGAGAGCATTCACGTCTTTGTAGGTAGCCTTCTTCTCAATAGTTAATAAGACAACCTTTGTTTGAGTATCAAAAGCAACTAAACAAGCAGTTAATACCAAGACAAGTATTGCTGAGACCCTTAGATAAACTTCCCCTCTAGCCATTCCGAACTCCATTTCTTCATACGAATCCTATTCTGATTCTTAGTTTTTGCTCCATCTTGGGCTCATTTATTGAGTTTTTGAGTAGATGCATGTTATGTCAATGGTTGACTACACGCTAATGACTGAGAACTATCCACGGCCACGGGTAAGGTGGAAATCAATAATCTCAACTGTTATCTAACCTCTATCTTTATCCATCTTATTATCTCTACCAGATTGGTTGGAACTATACCTTTTACTGTAATTAATTATTGTGTCAGATATGAATTATTATTTTTTTACTATCCTTCTATATATGTATGATTTTCTGTGTGCATTGGAAACTAGAGTAGAGAGACTCAAACGGTCTTTTTCTCGCACAACCTTGTTCGGACTTACTAGAAATTGAAACGGCCATAGACCAAAATTTTAATGAAACGATGGTCTTTTTCTTCCATTTGTAGAAAAAAAATAGCTGGAAAGTGGTTTTTCAATTTTTCTTTAAGTTATGAACATGAACGTGGTCGTAGGCATGTGGGACGGACATTAAATCTTCCGATACAATCATCATTAAATTGTAGCCACTACACCTAGCTTGTCTGGTATACTTTGTTTTCGCATCTGTGATCCAACTAATTTATAGTGACTTCATAAATAGGTTTGTTGCAACGTTAAAATCTTTCCTTACCTTAAGGACAATTGCATTCGATTTTGTATATCATATGCACCGTATCTTTTTGGTAATCTAGTGACAAAAAACGAAATGAAAGTGACCGAAGCTTGCCACTTGGGCTCAATTATTGACGTGACATATGCGCTTTTAAAAAAGGATTCTTTATGGCATGATTCGTTTAGAATGACTTTTTTTCAAAAGTTGACATTATTTTATATTTAAATGGAATATATAAAAAATACTTTTAAATAAAAAGTTATTCAGATATTAAAATTAATAAATAATTTTTATATATAAAATAAGGAGGGTTATGTTTACAAAAAATTTTATTTACAAGTTCAACTATATATTCCGGAAGATATACACTTCAAAAAGAATTTTTTTTAAAAAAAAAACAACTGTTTTCAGCTAAAAAAAAAACCCATCCAAATACCCCCATAATAGTAGTCTTTGTTTTTAGTCAATTTTCTCTAGTGATCGTATAATTGTTTACGGTAAAATATAATTACTTTATGGACGGTTTAATTTTATCTCAAATTAAGGAAGGTGTTAGAGAACACTTTAAGATTTTGGGTTGAGGTGGTTCTTTACATGTTATCAGAGCTTGAGTGACCATAAGGTCACGAGTTCAATCCTCACCGCCCCCACTTGTCTTGCGTGAGGGAATGTGTTAGAAAATAATATAAATCATTAAAAAGCCCAAAGGACTCTTGCGTGAGGAGGTGTGTTAGAGAATAATATAAATTATTAAAAGGTCCTCACTCAATACCTTAAGATTTTGAGCTGAAGTGGTCCTTTATAGAAGGAAAATATTGTTTTAAATTTTTATATAATAAGATAAATCATAAATATTAAAAATAAAAACCAATAAAAATTAGGCATAAATAAATCAATCAGAATAAAACGAAAACAAATGTTTAATAAAAAATGAATAAAGAGTTAATAATTAAAATAGTAAAAAATAGGTTACCAAAAAAAAAAATTAGTAAAAAATATACTCAAGTGAATTAAAGTAGTTAAAGTTTTGACTGAATTAAAATAGTTAAAGTTTTGAATGAATTAAAATAGTAAAAAACTTGTGATTGTGTGAGATGTACATGAATTTATACGTTCTAAATTCTATTACATTCTATAAACTGATATGCATATCCTAATCGCGAGCATATCTTTAATATTACGGGATGATATATTTCATTAAAAAAAGTGAGATTTAAGTGACAATAATCATAAAATAATGGATAAAATGAAAAAAAGTAGGTTATATTACTTTTTGGGGAAAAAAATATATATCCTTTCAAAGGATGATCTTTTTAAGAGAGAGAAAAAGATAAATAATAAGGCAAAGAAAGAGGGGAAAAAATCCCCATAATTTATCTCATAAAGGGGTAAATAATCACATAAAAATGCAAATGATTTTAGCTAAATAAAAATTGATGATTAATTAGTAGATAATTAAATAAAAAAGCTTATTTTAGGTCCAATGGAATAAGTACTAATTTGAAGGGTCAAATTGTTAAAATTACCCATTTAGACAAATAATTTATATTAATTCTTTTAAAAGTTTAACACGTATTTTTCATTACTAGTTCTGCAGACTAAATTGCATGTATAAATAGAATAGTGCGCAGAAGCATCCGTGTTCCCCACTCATCATCCTTCCAAATGCCATAATATATATTATATCCTCATTGCCTGATTCATTAGAAACAGATGCCAATTGATACCGAGTTTTTGAACTCCCTAATGGGTGTGGCATCCACTTAATTGACATAAAAGACGTAAATAGACACACATTGTTCAACACTATCTTATTTTATTTTATTTTATTTTTAAAAAAATTACTCCTATCAAATTACTGCAAACAAAAGGAGATATAAGACACTGGATTTCTACTCACATAATACGTTAGAAATTCAGAAGATGGACTATGTTTAGTGAAGTAGGTACGGAATTGCTGCTCTCAATGACCTTTGCCCTGGCCGTAAACGAGGTATAAAGTGTCTACTATGAAAATGTAATTGATAGAAAAATAGTTGAAAAGTGAGATAGGTAGGAAAATGTAAAAAAAAGTTATTTGGTGGGGAAAAACTTTACGGGAAAAATTAGTTAACTTTTATGAAATCTATGTTTGGTTAGAGGTAAAATATAGATGGGAAAACAAGTTGATATTACAAAAATAACCCTAATTTTAAATTTTTTGATGGTAGCATCCTGTTTCAAGCTGGTATTAAAATTTTAAAATTTCAAGCTGCATCATGTTTCCACTTTCTGAGTTGGGGGACAAGCTTTAAATTTCAACCCTATCAATAACTAATATAACTTACAAGTTCGAGGTGTTGGGATATTCAAGTGTGATGAGTCCCACATTGGTTGGTAATGGGCTAAGTGAAGAGTATATAAGTGGAAGGACCCATGAACCCAATGCCTTAAGGTTTTGGGTTGAGACATGGTGTCGGATCCACTTGCTACGGTTGGTGTAGCCTTAGCTCATTGGTGGTGGCCTCCGCCACGGGCTTCCCCCTGGACCTGCCTGACATTGGTATCAGAGCCGGATTGGGCTCGAGCTAGCCTGGTGATTGGCTAGGAGGCGGGTTGAGTACTTGGGCCCTGGGGTACTCGGTTGAGGGGTGAGCATATCAATGTTGGGTTTCACACTTGAGGGGGAGATTGTTGGGATATTCAAGTGTGATGAGTCATGTAACACCCCGTTCTAGAACCGGTTTGTTAACATCCCATTATGATATTAAGCGCAGTTACAATCACATTGGCTCAATTAAAATCCAGATAAGTTTTTCTTTTTAAAACGACGCCGAATTTAAAATAGCCAATTGCGTGATCATAACCATATTACCTTGCGGAATCAGATAAATTAAGCTTAACATCATGTTCTTATTCCATTTATAAACCATTAATTTACTTCCTATTTATTTCACAATTTCTACTATATTGTAGATCTCTTCGTTAGCTACGCGTGGTTTCAAACCGCTCCTCATTTGGAGCTCTGTAGCTCAAGTTATGACAATTTTACTAACTCAGGTGTATGCCGAAAAACTACGCGGGCAGGGCGCTTAAGCGCGCTCCAGGGCGCTTAAGCGCCCACAGACAGAGGAAATTCACATTTTTTGGCCACCAAGGGCGCTTAAGCGCGCTCCAGGGCGCTTAAGCCCCCATTTTGGGCGCTAAAGCCCCAGGCGGCAGAAAGCTTTTGGTCTTCACAGGTGCATCAGGGCGCTTAAGCCCCCTCATGGGCGCTTAAGCCCCCTGAGCAGGCTTAAGCCTCCATTTGCAGGCTTAAGCCCCCTCTTCTGGGCAATTTCCTATACTCATATTTTTCATGCATCTTTCTTAGGGAATCAATCCTACACATTTTACAACCTATTTAACAAGCTTGTGATATCCCTATATCATTGCTTAACTCTCATCCTCTCATCATTGATTTAACGGAAATTGGGCAGCATAACCTTTGTTTTCTCAACGTTTCCCAACTTAGCACAAGGTACCTAATTGACTTTCCAGCTCAACATATCCAATACATAAAAATACATTCATGCATTTAACTTACAGTAATCATCATACACAAATATCTTCATTACTTACAATATTACATCATGTCTTAATTACAAATCTCATATACATGCCAAAGGACTTAACTACAAAATGAACATGATCAAAGCAAGTAACCATGTATCAGATACCCATTACTACTACAATGATCATGCACTAAGTCCTCCAAAATACATCATATGACATCAAAATATACATATAGCAATGCTAAATGGCATGCAACTCAACATGTCCAGCTATCAGGTACAGTCTACTCACGCTTCTTGCCTCGATCAACCTCACCTCTATCAGTACCTGAAATGATGCCCCACAACACGGGGTGAGATATACGAATATATCACAATAAACCAGAGGTCCTTGGAGATCACTCCACCCTAAGGTCCACTTCGATGTACACATAATCATAATAGCTTAACACATTCTTATCCACAAGCATCACATGGACTTCCAAGAGAGATCCACTAAGGGCTGTTTCTCTTAGGCTCTTACCACATGGAGATCCACATAGGGCTGTTTCCAAGGGAAGTCCTTTCCTCAATCTATTCCAAGAGAGATCCTCAAAGGGCTGTTTCTCTTAGGCTCTTACCACATGGAGATCCACCTAGGGCTGTTTCCAAGGGAAGTCCTTTCCTCAATCTAGGAACCTCCAAGAGGGATCCACATAGGGCTGTTCCTCTTAGGCTCTAACCACATGGAGATCCACATAGGGCTGTTTCCAAGGGAAGTCCTTTCCTCAATCTAGGAACCTTCAAGAGGGATCCACATAGGGCTGTTCCTCTTAGGCTCTAACCACATGGAGATCCACATAGGGCTGTTTCCAAGGGAAGTCCTTTCCTCAATCTAGGAACCTCCAAGAGGGATCCACATAGGGCTGTTCCTCTTAGGCTCTAACCACATGGAGATCCACATAGGGCTGTTTCCAAGGGAAGTCCTTTCCTCA